TTAGTTATTCCATCTCCCTTTCTTTTTACTTCTTTACCTTCCCTCTCCTTCTTGCATGACGCTTTAATGTCCTTTCCCTCTCCACGGTTTTGGTTTTAAAAAAAAAAATTATTTTATTACTGGTCAAGGTCATATTTTGTGTAACGATGTTTACTTTACCATAAGCTCGAGAATGTAAGAGTCTATTCGGTTTTAATTAATAACAAATTACTATTAATTTAAAAAAAAATAGTTTCATGCCTCTGTGTGCTATTTCCCCATGACAAACATTTTCCTCTTCCATTCTTCTTACCATAGATATATTAACCGTAATTATGTACCTAGTGCAAGCATAGCCATGGGAAAAAGCCAGTTTACCATGGTGACTTGTATAGCGATTAAGCCATAAGCAGAAATATTGTCACTATCATTCTATTTACATCTCCCTACCCACAATATTGTCTCGACTCACCCTACTTCTTTGTCGTCGTAAATTCGACCTTATGTTAATATAGCAAAGTTTACTATTGCTTACATAGCATTGTAGGGTAGTTGTACACATTACGCACGACTTACATGGCTGATGTACTTATGACGCGTGTAAATAACAAATAATAATTATTAGTTAATGGTATTTGGCCTTTCGAACAATAGAAAATCTGAAAACTGAAAGAAAGAATACTGAGTCTAATGCTATGATTCAGCATCTTTGTGACGAATTCGCTACAGAATACTCCTTAAAATACGAATGGCTTCGTGTATTCCATTCAATTTCTTGGATAAAAGTAGATACCAAGTTCATTAAGAACTTAAAAAAAGTTGTCTTATAGGTATCCTAGACAGAAGATGGATTCTATAGAGCTCTGGGACGTTATTATTTTAAAGAAGGATACTCACATATTCCAAACATTATTTTTTGTTCTATCAACAGTTAAACATACCGGTACAGAAAATCTTTTAAGTTAGATTTTATTGGTGGTTTCCACCCTAAACGTCGCCGGCTTATCGTTGAATTTTGGGATTCGGTGTATAAGTAGTAGGGGTGCGTTAAATTTTGAAGATTTGAGTTGAATTTGTTAGGAAATCGATTTACCTAGTAACCTCGGTTCGACATAAATATTCTGCTATTTGGCAAATTCCTTAAAATTTTGACGTCGAATCTCTATAAGGTCTATGGACCGCCGAGACGGACTTAAAGCTGTAGACCATGGATATTATTCGTACAAGGGAGTTTATAGGTACAGTAGGTACGCATGGGTGGAAAAAGAGGTGAAATAAGATTTTGTTTTCATGATTTATTTGTTTGCCAGATGAGCACTGCATAATTTGTTATTTGCAACTTCCACTTCTGCTGTCATGTGTAGATTGGACACAAAACTGCTCAGCAAGGTTTGATAAACTATATTTTCAGAAGAAAGACATTTTTGTAATATGCGTGGGCGGTTGCTTTAAGCAGTCAGTCTTATAGACGCCATGCAACCAAAATAGTACCTTTTACAGCTACATAATACTACAGTATTTTGCTTGATGGGCCGTCGTTTCATTGGTATTACTCGAGTGAGTCAGAAATTCGATCAAAATATATCCATTAAGAATAAACAGCTTAAGAAATGTAGTAGATAAATTACCAAACTTGTAATACAGTAGAGAGCGATACAACGTGACGTCATTAAATAAAAATACCAAGTACTTATAGAATTATTATTCTGTGCTAATAATATAGTATGTGCTAAATACTTCTTGGTGATTGTGAAACTATCACTCCACTAGGAACCGAGCCCGGGATCTCTAGGTCTGAGTCAGGTGGTCTTACCACTAGACCACAGAGGTGATGTATGTGCCGTATTGTATGTAAGATGAATCATCATCATCATCATCATCATCATCATTTCAGCCATAGGACGTCCACTGCTGGACATAGGCCTCCCCCAATGCTTTCCACGTTGATCGATTGGTAGCGGCCTGCGTCCAGCGTAAGTGTAAGATGAATATGTTCAATAAATAAATGTAAACTAATGAGTTGTAAACGAATAAGGTGTTTAATAAATAAAGTGTTTAATAAATAAGGTGTTTAATAAATAAGCTATTTAACAAATAAGGTGTTAAGGTACAATTTAATGAAGCGTGCAGTATAAATGGTAGTTGTTCGTTGAAGTCTTTTGCAAGGAACGCGGCTCGCGCCCCCAAGGTCGCGAATCGCATGGCTTTGTTCAGTCGAGTACAGGCAGGGGCATAAGTATGTATTATAAGTAGTTATAATCTTCACCTGAAAAATATATGAGACATTATCTTACATGTGCATTTAGCAAAATTTTTCATCAGTTTCTTTTAAAAAATCAGATAGTAATGAAACTTACAATGTACTACTAGCGGCCGCCCGCGACTTCGTACGCGTGGATCCCGTTTTACCCCCTAGGTGGTTTCGTGAAATTCTTTCTTAGCGGATGCCTACGTCATAACATCTACCTGCATGCAAAATTTCAGCCCGATCCCTCCAGTAATTTGGTCTGTGCGTTGATAGATCATTATGTCAGTCAGTCAGTCAGTCAACTTTGAGTTATACAGGGTGTCCCGTAATGTAACGCCAAGCCGGAACTGGGTGTTGAGGCAAGTTATGCTGGATATCAGAAAAATATAAAAAAAAATCTATGTGGCATTTTGTCAAAATAATAGGCATTTAAAAAAAATCAAAAAATTCTACTCCCGGTGACGGTCTATTTACTCGTGTTGCCACAAATCTTAACTTTTTCCAAATTTTTTTTTGTTATTTAACCCTGAATAATGCTTCTCTAAATTGTTATCAAAATTACAAAACCAGCTGCTCCAACTTGGATGAAAAAAATACATTATTCCCAAAAAAAATATCAAAATAAAAATATTGCCTAGTTTAAACTGACTGTACTGAAAACAAGTGCGAGTCGGGCTCGCGCACAAAGGGTTCCGTAGCAGCAAATATAATAAACTTATTATGTCAATTTATACACCTGGTGAATGGAGCCTAAACTCTCCCGATATTTTGCCTTGTACTTTTATGTATGAATATTAATTTTATATATGTATTTATAAATATTCCGAGCTAAAGAGGTGGCAAAAGCAATGGCAAACAAACCACAATCAATAGTATTCGGTTGTCGCTGAACACTTGGAAACTGNGCAATATACACGCCGCAGCTGCAATGCCGCGCTGCCGATTTCATAGTTTTGCAGTTTGCGGTTGCAGTTTGCGGACTGCGGCCCGTCTTGGAATTGTACCTTAAATCTTAATATTTGTTACCAACTTATCTGGCATTCGCTGGCACCATCTAATATGCCAGCCTGTTTTACCTTTATCATACATAGGTGTCGTCTTAGTTGGTACATAAAGTAGCTATGTGGGTCACGCTCACGCAGCATCTTGCTATTTGTATTATACCTACATTTTTGAAATTCTAATAATTCCGTAACCGAAATTATCCGAAACTTTTGGATAATCTGAAATGATTTCATATCCGTGACCGTAACCGAAACCGGTATAATTTATTATTCTAATATCCGTAACCGTATCCATAACCGAAACTTCATATCCTTATTATCCCTGTTGCCAAGTACAAGTGCAGGCAGAGCAGGTAGTAAAGGCGCGCGCGCACGGGTGACTTTTGTCACAGTATGTCAACTACTAATTACTGTCATGGTGACAAAAGTTTCTGTGACTGACTGCACGGTAGTCAGTCACAGAAACTTGAATTTTGGGCACATTAGAATAATAATTTTTAACCAAGGTAAATAAAGTTAAAAACGGGACTATTTCCAAAAAACCAAAAATTGTCGACAATTACAGCAAAAATTTACAAAGTGTTATACAATTTTGGAATCGTTACTAAATGCGCCAAATTATGACGTCACTTGCCACACTCGCGTAGTACATTTTTTTTTCAGTACAGTCATTTTAAACTAGGCACAATTTTTATTTTGAATTTTTTTTTGGGAATAATGTATTTTTTTCATCCAAGCTGGAGCAGCTGGTTTTGTAATTTGATAACAATTTAGAGAAGCATTATTCAGGGTTATATAACAAAAGAAAAATTTGGAAAAAGTGAAGATTTGTGGCAATACGAGTAAAAGGACCGTCACCTGGAGTAGAATTTTTAGATTTTTTTAAATGCCTATTATTTTGAAAATATGCCACATAGATTTTTTTTTTTATTTTTCTGATAACCAGCACAACTTGCCTCAACACCCAGTTCCGGCTTGACGTTACATTACGGGACACCCTGTATATATTTAGATCTAAACATTAATAACGATAGCTGATAAATCGAGGTTGGTGGTTCGCAATAACTATTGTCAGATGTCTTTGTTACAGACCTGTAAACCAAAGTTATTGTTTATCTGACAGATAAGATCCTAATAGGATATGGATCTTTTAGAAAAGATCTGATATAACAAACTATAAATTAGGCCACAATGTCGGTCCGCCGTGAAATTTTTTTTATGCATAACAAGTTGCCCTGTAAGTGCCTATTCACTCTCGCCTTGAAAAGGCCCGGATTTTAATCTTCAGGGAAGACAGCAATGAAAGCGCCCATTTATTCTTCAACGGTTTTATTAAGCTTTTGCTACTAATGAAATGATAAGGGTTGAAAAGTGAAAAAATGTGTAAATCTTCATAATTTTTTAAGTGTGGACCATTCACTTTCGAGCACACCTGTACACCGATCAGTGTGCTTACCATGAGTTTACGTTACGTGTGCTCGCTAGCGACTGTGTAAAAAAATGACATTAATTGTATGGCATATTGTGCAGCGCCCCTAGCGGCTACTTTCAAGAAACAAAATCTTCATAGAGATTTTTGACGTACTCGCTAGCGAGCACACCTAACGTAAACTCATGGTAGGTACACAGCCCGCAAACCTTACTATACCAATCCAAGTGTACAATGTACTACAATACATCCCACGCCATGGCTCATCTTCAGCCATGACGTCACGGGTGCGCATAAAACCATGCCTCGGCCGCTACGGAGCGCAAACTCTGCCGGCCTCCGCTACGGCGTGGACGTGCGGCTACGCGCTACAAACTTCGCGAGTTTGGTTTTGAATAGTGTTGGGTACGTACTTTTGTGAGTTTTAACTTTTAGTTTAGGTTTTCGGCTGTCTTTGGTAGGTTGGTTACATGACTTATAAAATTTATTTAATTTAAAAATATATAAAATATGACTAAAATTATTTTGCTTATGACAAAATTAACAAATAAATAGGTAATATTTTACTATCACAAATTCATATTACGAAATATTAATTCGCGTAGCTGTGAAAGTTCATAAAAAATCTCCAAAAATTACTTGAAAGTTAAAGTTTAAAGTACAATAAAGTACTCGACTCGTATAGATACGTATAGATTGATAAATACTGTCTTTTGTCTACTAGATTAATAAATATTAAGTAAATACTTTATTACTTTTGTGGTCAACAATTAACTACAACTTATGGATCAGTTTGCTCAGCATACGGTTTAGTATAAACTAAAAGCCATTTTTATTATATTGTACTACGTATTTACTAAATACTTTTATAGCTCTGAAAATTCTGTAAAAGTACATTAAATAAAAAGGTGTAAATCGCTTTTAAAACTGTTCTGGAAGTTTAAAAATTCTTCTGGTGAAGTATCGAATGCCCGTGTAACAATTTAACTTCGTTAAAGAATGCTCAAAGGGAATCGCTACTCAGATTTCAAGATTAGAATAACACTTAAGTACAATCTAGCTGTGTTTGAAATACTTTCACAAACCGAGTATTTTAATTTAAATGTAAAATTTATTACATAAAGCTTTAGGAATTCAAATTGCCACAAAACTTGTAGAATACATTTTATTTGAAAAAGGGTTAGTTTAAATTCAATTTTAAATCTTGGGATATTGAATTGATATCTTCATTAACGAAAATTATCAGTTTCTTCTCACTGACGACTGAATGACATTTAATTGTAATATTAGTTTAATTAATGTGGAGGAACACTATCTGTGGTCGCGATCCTCATCAGTGAGGGACCGCGGAAGAAGAAGAAGAAGTTTAACATCTTCCAAGTCTGAATCACAAAACCAGAAACCTTACTTCAATCAAATTGAAATTTAGCTGACATGAAAATACACACACAAATATTGCTATAGTTTCAGAAATAAAAACAGGAGAGCTAAACGTGACTGTGATTCAAAAGATTAAACTTTTACTGAACTGCACTAACTAAACTTCATTCTGAGAATATTGACAAGCAAGTTCATCTGTAAATGAGTATATTCGTACATGAGTCAAAATACAGATAAAATAATATTAATATAAATCTTTTGCTTAATTATTGTCTTGGTTCGTACGTCGATTAATCTGCACATCATTATGACTCCCATAACTTCCATTCTACACCACCACTCCCGTAATATTAAACTACCTACACCAAGCTTGTAAAATCAGACAGATAACGATCCTTTAAATGATCTAATTTCTACATGGCAGTCTAAATACTTTTTTTTTTTTTTTTTTTTTAATTTATTGTATTTTTTTTTTGTTTTTCCTTTTAATGATACTTGCTCATACAATAATAACCCCCTAGGAATCGAACCTGCAACTCAATTGGTGCTGGTGTACGATACGCGAACCTCTGTGCCTAGAGGCCGTCTTAGAATTATTATCTTTGTTAATCTACACTTATCGCTATAAAATAGTGGCAAAACAATACATAAATTCTGCATAATATTAGGACAAGAAGTTAGTTATATTAATATTAATGTATTAAAAGTAACTCAGTCTGCGAAACAATTTTGATTAACCAAGATCTCAGATCACATTCCCTTCTATGATCTGAGATCAAGATGAAGATGGAACTTAAAAGATGGACATATAAGCTTCCTTTTGAAGACCTAAATTAATTTCTAGAGAGATATGAAATCTGTACCTAACATTTCAGTGCCAATACATAAGTTACATATGAAATAGTGTTCTTTTCCAAAAAGTTTACATTTTACAGCTTTGTTTTTGTCGTGAGCTTTCTCACTGAGCTAAGCTTTCTGTAATAGGACAGAAGTTGGCATATAATTTACAGTCAAGCTTCAGCCGTAGCATCTCCAAGCAAACCCGTAGCACTATTTCGTAGTCGTTTATTTCGTAGCTACGAAAACTAACGTAGGCTGAGTTGCACCACCTAAAAGACAATGCCGGAAATTGGCGTCTTTTTTTTTCGCGCGGCCATCAACCAAACGTTTTTTTTTTATTACAAAATAGTGTAATAGACCAAACTTACTATTACATGTATACCTCTAAACTCAGTCTGAACTGAGTTACGAGCTTTAGAAGTTTGATGATTTTACATACTAGATTTGCTTTTTGCGCGCAAATTTTGCAAGAAATTGCAACAAAATAGTGACATTGTATGTGTAAACAAACAATACCATCCATTAAAGGCTCCAGACATCAGTGTGGAGCAGAATCAACGCAATAAAAAAATAGCGCAATATTTTGTTGCAATTTCTTACAAAACTTGCGCGCAAAAAGTAAATCTACTTAGTATGTAAAATCATCAAACTTCTAACGCTCGTAACTCAGTTCAGACTGAGTTTAGAGGTATACATGTGCTAGTAAGTTTGGTTTATTACACTTTTTTGTAACCAAAAAACAAAGTTTAGTATATGGCCGCGCGAAAAAAAAAAGACGCCACCTTCCATACAAAATCTGGCATTGCCATTTGATCGTAACTATAACGATAACCGGCGTTTTTGTATGGAGTATGACTGGTTTTTGACGTTTGTCACAGTTAAAGTAAGATGGTGCAATCCAGCCTTAGTGAAGAGTAGCGATTATTGCATGTCACATTCAGCTGAGCACGAGATATTTTTATCACTGTTCTTTCCTTTTTATCACTATAACTGTTCCATTCCGCGAAAATTAACTATTTTATGGAATGTTAAGGGCATAAGTGTGGTAATAGAGTCGCTATTCCCTTGGGCAACCAGAAAACTATTCTTGTGCTGGTTTAAGTGTCTTTTTAGCTATTGTTGACCCTGTAGAATGGTTTTTATATTACACTTTTAGAAATCGGCATTACCATAATGCAATGTCAGTAATGTTTTAAACGTACAATTTTGTGTCATAGATATTTAGACTGATAACATAATTATTCTTGTTGCTGATGCATTCAAATGAATACCAATGAATTTTTATCATTAAGTTAAATTCAGTTCAATGAGACGCTTTAAATTTTTATGGACCTAAATGTCCTCATGAATGCAAAGAATTTCAGTAAATGGGGTCTAAATTACAGTCATAATGGATACTCGTCGTGTGCACATACGCAATTTCAAGGTATAAGCATCGTAAGTGTGTAATCTATACTTATAATAAATCTGTAGAGAGGTCAATTCTGTACATGAAATATATTTTCAAAATAACTATTAGGGAGTGATAGTGATCGATACTGATGCCAAAAATGCAATCAGTAAAATTTTTGTCTGTCTGTCTGTCTGTCTGTCTGTCTGTCTGTCTGTATGTTCCTTATAGAAACAAAAACTACTCGACGGATTTTAACGAAACTTGGTACAATTATTCTTCATACCCCTAGGCAGGTTATAGAATACTTATAAATTCCCACGGGAACGGGAATTAGCGGGAAAATCCTTTTGTATGAAAAATCTAAATCGCTTAAGTTAGACGCTTGTAATTTGGAATCCAGGTACCTTAGTAAACTTAAAGCATAGTTACTACAGGATATTGCAAAATTCCCACGGGAACGGGAGTTAGCGGGAAAAAACATTTGTATGAAAAAATCAAAACCGCGTAAGATAGATGAAGGGGGTAAAACGGGATCCACGCGTACGAAGTCGCGGGCGGCCGCTAGTTTTTAATAAGTAGTTAAAAAAAATTATACGATCTCAACGAACAGCGGAGTTCAAAAATGTAGTTTTAGATCTTTTACACGCTATTAACTATGTATGGAGAGGAAAAGTCTTGCTTCATAAATTCTTGATTATAATTTGCTTCCTTGTGTTTAAAGATGCGGTTTTAAATAGGATAGTACGAGAGCCCACGACCAAAACCATGTCTCATAGCAATACGGCAAAAACCCTATAAAATCGTTAGATTGTATGATTCTGAACCCGACTAGGTGTGTAGTAACGGTCGAAAGTGTAGCAACTGCGTTTCTGCTGTTTCAAAAAAAAAAGACAGTCGGTATTTATAGCAATACGTCTGATAGTGAAAATGTACATAGATTTTATAATTGTATTACGAAAAAGTTTGTTTTCAGACATTTTGCGCGTAGCATATAGCCTGAGCGAATTTTTGAAAATGTCAACAAATTTAGCCGACCTGTATACCTTTACGGGTTTGCACTACACCACTAACGTCTGAAAAATATGTTTCCGGTATCTCAGAACTATCATTCAACTACAGTCTGCAAATCAGACATATTGCTATGATGCAGTTCGGTAAAATTCTTTGACAATTCGGTCAGATCAAACGCTACGCGGAAAATGTCTGATATTGTTTTTTTCGAGTTCAGGATAATCGTATCTATCGATTTGATGCGGTTTTGGCCGTATTGCTATGAGACAAAAATTTTGGTCGTGGGCTCTCGTACTATGAGACTTATTTCAAAAATATACCCTAGAGAAAAACGTTCAGTGAGATGTATAGACAGAAATTAAGTAAGAAGAATATTTGGCTTTGATTTCCACGAAAGAAGACTTATTATTTCAAATCCAAGACAGTGATTTGTGTTCACTGTTCAAAAGTATCTACAAGTCTGAATGAAAAACCATTCGTCTGTTAACAAATTTATCTTTGAAAAGAAATAAAACTGTACAATCATAAAGTAAAAACTTCGTTAAATAAATCATCCAAACATTAACCATTCGCGCTAATGGCAGAAACAAAAAGAGCGCCTGGCCAAATGCCAGAGCAAAAGATTCACTTAGCAAAACCTTGCGTGATTTGTAAAGTGACGACACTTTTCCGACTTTTCAGTACGCACAGTAAATTAAGGTGAATTTTCAAATAAGCTTAGTTAACTGAAAGTTTTTGAAGCATCTTCTTTTATCTTTAGGATTATAGATTCTGAGGATTT